GTGATTAATACTTATTAGTTAATATTTTTATTAACATTTAATATTTTTATTAAGTTATTTATTAGTTACGCAGTTTGTATCTAGATATGTGATTCATAAAACGTGCATTTGAAACTTTTTAGTAAACTTTAGCAACATAGCATGAGCAACTGGGCTTCAGCCTGACTTATTTATACACAGTTGTTGCCTACTGGATATATTTTGAGCTGCAGTAATGAAGATACTTTAAATTATGCTTAATTATGGAATGTAAATATTATTTGTAAGGGTGAAATTTGAAGAGGAGTATTCGAGTACTCATTTGGAAAGACCAACTAGTATTCATGTAAATTACTATAAAATACTGTTCAGGTCAGACATAGTGTAGCCACATATCAGTAAACAATGGTGATATTTTATGAAGTTTAGTTTGCCTGTTCGGCTCCTCTCCTGTACTGTTAGGTGTTCCCGCTTTGGCTCACATATCTCTTTAATGCAGAACAGACTGCCTGGATGGTGTATGTGTCTTTCCCACGTTACACTCATATGAGCCAAAGCTGTGTGTATGTAAGTGTGTGTGTGTGTGTGTGTGTGGGTGTGTATGTGTGTGGATGTGTGCGTGCTGCACCTGCATTCAATCACATCTTGTGCTTGTCCTATGTTGCACTTGGCATTTCCTCTGCACGTCCAGGCCTTTAGTGGTGGACCTCACCACCCCACTCCACCCCAAACCTCACAATATAAGGAGTCCCATTGACTTCTGTGAGAGAAATGCTATGTCACTGATAGGTGGGTGTGTCACGATACACATTTTAATATTCGTATTTTTCTATACTGGGGTTTCAAGACAATGCACACAGTGTAGACGATAAAACATGATATAAACCTTGTGTTTCCAAAATGGTTATTTTAGAGAGGAGGAAAAATATCAAACTTGTAATGAAACTTAATGAAAAATGATTTTTACCGCGTCATTAGATCATTTCGTTTGGTCTGTTCATAATGAAATTTTAACACAATGCAAAGGATAACAGACATGTTCAAATTTTGCAAAAAAGTAAAAACCACCAAAAATACCAATGCAAGGTTTTTGCATTATGGCAATAATATGATTGTGAAGGCTAACCATATCCAAACGAATGTCATCACAGCTTGAAAATTAAAAAAGGAAACTCTGCCTTGGCCGCGTTCACGTTTCAAACCCACGGTGTACTGAGAATTGTTGCCGTAGAGACGGGGTGGGTGGAGCCTACCGTGACTTTTCTTTGGCTAAATTGGATGTAGGCCAAGCTTGAGGTTCAACAGACACTTCGCTTCATGCACACACACTAGAACCGAGTAAAATAACCATATGCGGTCTCCCTAAAAAATAGTTTCTGAGATTTGAAATCTCGGCTGGAATGCCGTTCTGTCTCAAGTTTTACTCCAGGAATGGTGTTCCGGTGTGTTCCGGCCCATTTCCAGCCCTGCTGGTTAACAACAACCAGCCTTCCTCATGTTCCTCATTGAGCGTTGTCATTACCAGTTGATGCACATTAGCGTATTTTAGGATGTTCACAATTGTTGAACTAGCCGTGAAATCTGCTAAAGTTCTGTTTTATTTTCTTTCCTCATTGCTTCCAGATTATTCTCTTCTCTTTTATTGACAGCTTCTAGCTCTTCATGCTCCTTTAAGAACTCTGACTCTAAAGACATTCTAAAGCAAAAGCAGAAGCTCTGGTCATGCCTGTTGTTTGCAAGCTCAGTGAATTTTACATCCAGCGTTAACTTCCGTAACGCTTTACATTCAAATCATTTGTTCCATTACCCACCTAAAAAAAACGGAAAGTAAGCAGGGCTATTTTATGTTTTATTGCGCTGGAATTGTGCTCTGTATCTCATTAACATGCATGTAATTCTATCTTTTCTTCTTTCTTGGTGGCTTTTATTTTTGCCCTGAATGTAAGTTTTCCCAGCTGGTTTCCATCAGAATTGAATCTGATATCACAAATGTCTCAATGAAGTGGAAGTTCTCTTACAGCTGAAACTGGAGCTGGAACATTTTGGAGATGTTTAGACTCAGTAAAGCTTAGGCTTGTCCTAGTAAAAGTGCCTTTTGTTATGTGTCAAGGCCCAAATCCTACAAGGCTCAAATCTTGCATTTTGCTTATATTTTATTGTTTTCCCCTGATGTCCACTTATGGTTTTATGTACCCTTTGTTTTTCTGCATGACCATTTTCAAATCTCTCTCTTTTATCCTTTTTGCTGCTGTGCCTTTATGTAAATGAGCTCTGTTCTGATTGGTTGTACCTCATTCAAAAAGCAATCTGGGCTGAAACGCTCCTTATAACTTCAGTGTGGCCAGAGCTGAACTGCTATAGGTTGAATAGGTGGATATATGTAAACTAGTTGGTTTTCTTGGTATCAAATAAACAGAAACAAGTATGTAATTAGAACCCTGGCTCACATCAAATAAACTGTGGTGTGGTTCATTTAAAACTTTTTATGAGATCTGAATTGGTAATTACAGAACAGAGAGGTTCGTTTTTAAACCTGGCTGAAGCACATTAGAAGCCTTTATAAAATACTTGATGTACACAGCTACAACTGCATACATTACTTAAATAATGTAATATTGCGCCAAATTTTTGACATTTTGTAACAACAGTAAGACTCTCGAGGCCGTGTGTTGGTGATTTCACTGCTCTTCGTGAGAATGCCACAGTAATGCATGGCCTCTTATGCCTTATAGAACATTACAAGACAGATAAAACAAGACATCCATAAAAGCTAGGAGCCCATTTAGGCCAGAATACAGCACAGTTAAGAAGGTTTGTTGGATATTATCCCAGTTGTGGTCGTCAAATGTACATCATAAAATACACCCAGTCAGTATGATATTTGTTTTATTTTGGTTTGATGTCAAATATATGAGCGTAAATGCTAAACAAACCAGAACTAAATGCGACAATGTATCATTTTCTGCTATGGTCTGACCAAAGTAACTGAACTTTAAGTATAAACACACTCTTAGTGCCTTATGGACTGGGAGTGAATGGTACACTGTAAAACTTTAACAGAGTTTACATACTACGTTTAACACTTATTTAAAAAAGAGAGAAAATATGGTTTTCATTGATATGGACCTTTAAGAATATATCTCCAACTATTCCTCTCCCTGAAGTCCAAATGCTTATAAATAGTGTTCGTAATGCCCACGATTTATATACTAATGCTCTTATTCCTACATAAAAATTTAACTCTTTGATCTTAGTCTGGACCTTAGAATTCTTCTATCTGATTTAAGATGTTAAGTTGTTTTGATGTACTATTTAAATCAGTGTAAATGAATGTTTAGTATGTAATTATATTAGTGTGGATGGGGCCCCCAGGATTATGTTGCTCAGAGCCCCCAAATATTTAGAAACAGCTCTGCTACAGGTTAAGGGTAATAAACTGTTGTGTAGTTTTTCAGAAATAGTTTTTTTGGCTTTGTTGTTTGACCATGTGGGAGATGTTTTCCATGCTGATGTGCTAGAAGTGTGATTTTGGAAAGCATATACATAGAGCAAATGGGGTCAGACAGTGGTCCTCTTCATAAAGGCCCGAGAGTGCAAACAGGGCCCTAAATCTGCCCACTGAACAGCGGCCTGACAGCCCTGCATGGGTGAGCCAAAGTTAAGATAAAGAAAGCTGGATATATGTGGAGCGCCTTTTGTTTGGAGATCCTCAACTGAAGGCCGGCGGGGAGCCATCCGTCCAGTGTCACTGACCCCGAGAAAGAAGGGCCCTCTGATTTTACCATTTATAACTTCACCAATATTGTTCAGGGTCCACCTCGGGTATAAATCTGTCCTTTCTCCAGTTGTTTTAAGCTTTTGTCCACCACTCCCCTCTGCCATCTCGTCTTTAGTCCCTTCACTGTGGGAGCTCAGAGGATGCGAAACGAACTCACTGGGGAAGAATTAAACAATTAAGATTAAAGGAATAGTATGCTGAAAGATTTACACAGTTCCCCCACCCTTTAGCCCAAATGTTTTCGATCAACCAAGACATGTTTAGTGTCTGAAGTTTCCTTCTTTAGTTAAAGCTTTATAGTCGATAGTACCGTAGACTAGGTGTCTCTTGTACCGTATGTGCTAAGTGTAAATTTCTGCCTTGTAATCTGCTCTTCTTCATTAATCCTGTGATTTCTCAGAGCTGCTTTGGTGTTTATTTTGATATGGATCATTCTACCAAATGTGGAATTGAAACGACATGTCGCATTTTTAACTGACTTGCACTTTAGAATAAAATCTTTTTGCTTTGAGTGACCCTAAACCTTAATTATGTTTGTTTTTATTAAAATAAATTATTGAACATTCCATTTTGTCTCTACTAAAACAATCACAGCACTACCTTTACCAAGTGTTGTAGTAGTGATTGTTTCAGTAGTTTCATAATAGGGAATTTTGAGCGTAACTCAAAAACACTAGAAAACATAGCTCTGAACAGCTGTACACACATAAAGTCATACTGTTCATAAAACACAAAAATGTGTGTTTTGGTTGTGACAATTCTTAATGTTACACACTGATTTTCAGACTTTGGGACACATTCACTTCAAAACAGTGGAGTTTAACTGCTCACCTTGTGGCCATGAAGAACAAGGGTGCAGTCTTACTTTGACTCTGTGTTGAGTTGCTAGTGAGCAACAAGGGGTGAAAGGGAAGTCATGAGAGCCCCCTGCTGTGAACATTATTCATACGTCTGAGATAAAATGGACAGTGAAACTGCAGCTTTCTTTATATCAAACAATGCTGTACAACTGAAACAAAAAATAAACCCAGTAAAAACACCTTTATCACTGGCTGGATTGCTCACCAGTTTCTAAATCATTTCCATCAAAATATGTTCCTTCAAAAAATGAAATTTTATGGATGCTGTGAAAAGAAGTTAAGCACTTGAAGTAATGGTCTAGTAAAGGTCTGAGCTAATACTTTTTTGAATCAAATGTCCATTTTTCTTCACCCTCTCTCTGTTGGTCCTTTTCCCACTATAGGTACCATTACCCAGTGCCGAAGGTGTTTTATGTGCAGCTGACTGTTGGGAACAAAGAGTTTATTGGTGAAGGTCGGACTCGCCAAGCTGCCCGACACAATGCTGCCATGAAGGCCCTTCAGGCTCTGAGGAACGAACCCATCCCAGAGAGACCACCTCAGGTAACAATCATGCACCCTGTCACTACCTCACTGTAGTTAAGCACAGAATAACTTTATTTATTTATTTATTTTTTAACATTTGAAGGCCACGGCCACCAAAAGAAAAATAATAAAAAAAACTGGGACACATTCATAAAACTGGATTTAACATGACGATAAGAGTAAATAGCTTGGCGGGAACATGTTTGCTCAGTCATATATGAGGGTTACCGGTGCATTTTACTGCTTGTGTGATGTGAGGCGTTGCCCTACTTTTCATCCATTTGCATGCTCCTGTATTCATAACACAGCACAATCACACAAAACTAACGCCTGAGCCACTCTGGCTGGTGATTTTTCCCTAACCTTTGAGACTAGCAGATTTAACTGGCAGTGAGTGTAAATCGACCTTTTCTTCCTGCACCAAATTTGATGTTTGGTGAATCCTCCCCTGTGTGTGGAGTAGGGTTAGCTTGTAATCCAAATCAGTGAAGAGTAATTTGACATGTTAAGAATCTAATTACATGTTTGAATTGATTTTGTTGCAAGTAGTTTTGAGTTTTAATCCTTTTTTTCATTTACAATGATTTTCCACAGAAATGTACAATTCATACACATGTAAATGACATTTGACTCGAAAAATACATTTCTTGAAAGTGAAAACTGAATTTTTACAAGTCAAAATTGACTGATTACTAGTAATATTTACTTTGTGCAAATTAATTTCTTCAGATCAACAAAAATATGAAGTAAAAGCTAAAACAGCTTGTCTTACTAATTAAAATTTCAGCATGTCTGTTTAATTTTTAATTGTGTGTGGAGGGGGGGGGGATTGCCACCTTAAATTCTAATTCATGTCGGTAAAATTGTCACTGCAATTATAATGAACTGGAAAAAGGCTTAAAATCTTACCAATTATAAAAAGGCATGCTAAAATATAATTCCTACCAAAAAGAAAAAAAAGTCTAATTTTAAGGTATTATAATTAGATTTTATTTTTATCCATCATCGAAAATCAGCACTTTCTGATAAAGAACATTTTTTTGTGATTAAAAGTTAAAAACATATATACAAAATATTTTACTGTGTTTGCAGCACTTTTCCCCTTAAAATTTGTAACTCTGTTTCTGAGAATTTGTTCCTTTTTTGTTTTCATTTCTTTCATATTGTCCATTTTAGCAGCTGAAACAAAGCTTCACTTGACATGGGTCTTTCATATGTATGAATTCATTTACATGTGGATTTTGATTGGCTCTTGTAAACGACTCAGGTGAAAATATCATTAAAAAGACACGGTCAGTCTAATCACTGACTTAACGAATAGGTCTCATTTACTGTGCCACACATTGTGCCTGGTGTAGCGCTGTTACCGTTTAATGAGTCTAGCCCTACATCTCAAAACTAATGCCTAAAGTGTTGCATACCTATCTACTGGGCACAGTGACTTTTCCTGAAAGAAGCAAACAAATTTGAGAAGATATGTTGGGAGGCCTTCAGTGACTTCACATGAATTGACTGAGATATAATTGAGTATTCATGCTAAACAGTTCTACTATTTCAGGACACTTCCTGCTAAATGTAATCATGTTTGGGCAAATAAGAGCAATACAAAGCCAGAGGATTATAGTGAGACGAAGCAAGCGTCAGTTTTGTTGTTTTTTTGTTTTTTGTTTTTTTTTTTTGAAAATCTGTCACTGTATTCAAAGTCTAATATGTGGTTTTGGTTTCTGTGAATAAAGTACACAGCCTGGGGTCATCTCTTGAAATGCTGCCGGAAATCATATCACGTATTGCTCCAAATGGCTGGCGTCCACAGCGGTTATTTAAACCGCGATGGCTGAGATTTCTCCTGCTCAGTCTTGTCTTGCAGAATGAATTCTTTGTCAGGCGCTTCTTTCCTGTATTGCTTTACAAATTGAAGTACACGATGATCATGTACACCTGAGGGCAAACAGTGCTTACCTGCCAGGGTGCATACACATACGCACGCACAGCAGTGGTTGTGGTCTGTAATCTGTAGGAGCACAGAGAAACCACAACGCTGATAATTCAGTAACATCTGTAAGGCAACAAATACAATGAGCAGTTTCAGTTCTAAAATCTGATTGGCTGAGCTACGTTTAAAGGTGCTGGAAATAATAAAGCACAAAATGCACCTTTTAGACAGTCTTTTAAAGTGTGGTGATCTGTGTGTCTTCAACCACTATGTTCAGCAAAATTAAACGACGGACATTGTTGAAATATATTTGGTTGTAGTTTGTTTTCTGTCTTTCAAGAGTGAGACAATGTAGGTCTGATCATTTTCGGATGTTTATTTGAACTGCGACATTTGAGAAATCAAATACAAAAGGTCAAATGTCCAATGAATGTCCAATGTGAAACCAACTTACAGATAAATCTGTCTCAAGATCAGATTCAGCTCAGCTTTTTCAGTATTTTCCAGGTGAAGCTGAATGTGATTTTGTTACAGTCAGTTTTTGTTTGCTGAATTGTTTTCTCTTGTTTCCTGGCTAATTCCAGTTTGTTTAGTTGTTCCATCACAGCTGTTGACTGAAAAGCTTGCTTTAGGATCAACAACAACTTAGGAATTTGATATAGTCCTGCATCACTCTCTCCTTCAGAATCTGAGCAAAAGGGCTCCAAATCAAATATTATCTTAGAGAAGTTATTTCATGTGTCCGTTTACTGTTTTTGTAGAAAACTAGTAAGTTAGCTGCAGAATAAAGTGAGTTATTACTTAGCCACTGGTGCTCAATGCAATGATACACTTACTGTGGGGGAAAAAAACATGTTATCACAGATATGAGGACGCATCTCAACCATTGTGCCATCAGGAATAAGTGTTGTGTAATTCTCAATATACACACATTCATTTATGCATTTCCGTTTATGCCATTTGACAGACACTCTTATCCTGAGCAACTTAGAAGTTAATCATGTTACAGAGGTAAGCGGAAAGATAGAAGTCTTGCCCGGGTGGGGGATCGAACCCTGATCTGTAGTGTGTATGGCAGAGGTATTACCCACTACACTGTACCAATATTCCTGTTATCTTTGATGTTTACTATTACATTTTTCTGTCGTTTTCTTCTGTTCGGATTGAGTTGAGTGGGACTAAATTTGACGCAGGAGACATCAGATCTGCCCAGTTGGAGTTAGCAATATGTATATGTCAGCTACTCTTGTTCCTCCTCGTCGCATACAGTGACTGCTCTCCTGCTGCTCTCAACCCCAGCCGAAACTCCTAACAAGTAGCTTATGTTAACAATGCTTGTTCTGAAGGTTCATTACACTGTTGTTTTTAGCATGGCTAGATTCTGCTTCCTGCTTGCGTTAGTCGCCTGTTGCTGGCTCCTACGAAGAGCAATTAATATTACAAGACCATTTTAGATAGCGGTCCACCTTAAATATAGGAATAAAAAGCTAAAACATTTGTGTGACCTCAGAAGCACTTTCTTTTGGTGGTCTGTTTTTTTTGCTGCTGAAGAGGCTCAGATGTGCAAGACTGAACAACACCGATTGGTGGTGTCACTCACCACTGCTGCTGGAACCGGGTTGTGTACGCTGGGCAGATGTAAGCCAGTTACATTAGCTAGCTAGCCAAAAGCTTTTTTTTTTGTTATACACAATATGACTGAACCACCCATCGTAAGATGCAAGCCTCCAACATTACCTGCCAATGTGATCTCTAAAATGGCCATTAGACAGCTTGTTCTCCATTTTGCTCATTTTACTCACCATTCAGAGAGCAGGCGAGAAAAGCGAGGTGGTCTGTTTTTTTTTTGCTGCTGAAGAGGCTCAGATGTGCAAGACTGAACAACACCAATTGGTGGTGTCACTCACCACTGCTGCTGGAACCGGGTTGTGTGCGCTGCCCAAGAGACGCTGCTGTCAATCATTTTGCGTTCTGACATGCCTACACAGTTAAGAGCGGGCAGCAGCTTGGAATTTTGGAACATTTGTCTTGTATTTGTATTAATTTATATATATATTTCTTGAATATAACAATTCCGTGGCATAACTTTACAATTAAAACTATAATTCAAATATTTGAAACCATGTTGAGACCAGGGGCTTTAACAAATTGTTGTGCTTGGCAGGAGAAATGTGTATTGCAATTATTATTATTATTATTATTATTATTATTATATTATTAATAATAAATTACTTTATATATCGAACAATAGTGCATTTTATCATATTGCATTTTGTCTCTGTTTCATACAAGCAATAGTACACTTGATTACACATGTTACAGGGATTTTACTCCATTTTTTCATGCAGATCACCCCTTAAATATGGGAAAATCACATACAGTACATTATTATATTATGATCATTGAAAGGCATCTTCTGCCAGCTGAGTCTCTAATGGTGTCCAGGGAAGTTTCTAAAAGCAGGAATAAAGACTTCAAATTGTATTTTATAATGTAAGTTTTGTGTGTTGAACTGTTTCAGTGTCCAGAGGAGAAAAAGGGCGTGGAAGAAAACAGTGATGCCAGCAAGTCAGAGATCAGCCTGGTGTACGAAATCGCTCTCAAGCGGAACCTTCCTGTCAGCTTTGAGGTAACATGAAATCACGTTATTCCAAAAATGCTTGTACTGTGACTGAGCTCTACGCTAAGCAAGGCCTCAGCTTAGGCGCAGTAATTCCCTGCTTGGGCAGATGTTAGCCAGTTACATTAGCTAGCTAGCCAAAAGCGTTGGTTAAGGTAGCTTGCATTAATGTTAGATGAATTAAAAAAAAACTGTTTGGGCAGATTTTGGCCAGCTAGCTAGCAAGCTGCCTCTGTCAGCTAAATAAGCTAAATAAAAGGATAAGGCTATGTAGCTACTGTAAACTCGCTGAAGTACATTAGCTAGCAGAAGTAGCTAGCACACACAGAAAGATTAATTTTGTTACCCAGTTTTATGTACTTTCAAACGGAACTATATAACTACACATACTTTCTCAGAAATAATTAATTTACCTAATGTTAATGTGAGCTACCTCACCACTTTGGCTAGCTAGCTGACTTAGTAGCTCACTCGCTAGTTGGCTAGCTTCCTTTCAAGCTGAGGACCTTCTCAAGTGCGTTGACCATGTTGTTGTTCACTGGAATTTTATTCTGAATGAAGGTCAGCTCATGTATGTCCTGTTCCCTCACACAAGATTTACTTTTCAAACATTTCTCATATTTTAATCACAGATTCCCTCATTAGCGCTTATGAAAACATCAATTAATTCAGCAGAGTGCAGATAATGTGCTGTGCTCAGTGAAGCGGACTAGAGTACAATAGAGATTATGTTAAACGCCTCACATCGGTCACGCTCTGTCATGAATTTAATACAGTAATTGCTGTAGATTTTTTAGCACGGAGAAAGCGTTTGGAAGCCACACACATTTCGGCTCCACACTCACAGCCTGGAGCTTCTGCTGTTTGGGAAAACAAACGGATGTCTGCGGTCTCTGTTGCATCTTCATTATGTAAAGTGTTTTTCCACGCCTGTCTCCAGCCCCACATTCTGCACTCATCAGCTCGGGCTTTGGCGAAAGCTGCGTTTTCCAGAAAATTTCTTGACATAATTATGTTCTAAGATCCTTCTGCACTCGCATGCAGTTTGCTACACCTAGGGACCGAATCCAACGTTATTATTTGCGCATGAACAACTTGACCATAATTCACTTGAGAGAGCCTGGAATGATTTTGTTTCGGCTCATGTCTGATCTTTTCAGGAATTTTGCCCCTTGACATTTGGGAAGAATGTCTGTTTTTTTCCTGTTTGAATAAACATTCAAACCGAGAATAAGTGTTACAATATGAGAAAGAAGCTGAAAGTGGAAAATTGCTGCTCTTGCTGAAAGGGTTTTCTACCTAAATGAAACCATTTGAGTAGCAAGTCTGCAACTAATGATTATTTCTGCAGTTAATTTAACTATCAAGTTATGTTCATTTTATCGACTAACCTAAAATGTTCTGTCTTCTGTGCTATAAGCTATTTCTTCTTTATTTTGATTGAATGATAGAAGCTTTATTGCTCCTTACACTTCCAAAATGATGTGGATCATGTACAACACTATTAAGCGTTAAAGAGCCCTTTTTTGATGAAGCAATACACCCCCTAAACTTCCTGTTGTGTATTGTTACAGTCGAATGTAAGAATATATGTATATATGGCTTTAGATGAAACAACAGAAGTCAAATCACCCCCTATGCTTCCTGTAGTCAATTACAGTCTGTCAGAGTGACTGTGTGGATCATATGTACATTATAGAGCATTTTAGAATGAAACACTACAAGCTACATTGCCCCATACACTTCCTGTCCTGTAGTGTATTACAAACTGGCAGAATGACTGTGGAGCTTACGAACATTATAGAACATTTAGATGAGTGCGAGATCTAGCACAACAAAACCAAAAAACTCACCTCTTCCATGCAGAGCAAGAGGAGGACTATTTTATTTATATAATATTATTGTCAGACTCCAAATGAATCTTCTTGATTTGCCTAGTCGCCATCACATCATTCAGTGCAAATCAGGATAGTGTGATTTTTCAGTCGTTTGCCCTCTAATGCTGAATATCAATATAGGCAACTGAAGTGCATTCAAAAAGTTTCAAAGCTTTTAAAAAAAGGATGAGGCCAACCTAAGGTAGATCATGGTGACCTGTCGACTGGAAAATATAGATCTCAAGCCACGAAAGTATGGGCACCCCTGCTGTAGTGTATCGCAATCTGTCAGAATGACTGTATGGATCATATGAACATTATAGAGCGTTACAGAGATTTGATTCCCCATCTGGACGGTCACACCACACTATGTCCTTGAACAAGATTCCTAACGCTGTATTCGCCTACCTTTTATAATGTGATTAAAACTGTAGGTTTCTCTGGATAAGCACATCTATCAAATGCCATAAATGTAAACGTTTTAAGTAAACAGTGTGTTGACATTTTCCCATAAGCAACTTTGTTGACTTACCTTTGCAGACCTTTCAAAAGCTATATTTGCTCATTATGCTCCTTGAAACTACAAGTTTCCGGTTGTTCGTCTTTGTGTGAAGTACAAGACTATCTAGGACTGCATGGACAACTCGAGTCGCTTCTCAAGGCATGTCGAGTGCCTTGTAATGTTCAAAGATATCGATATGTAGCTCTAAGCTTTTGGACAGATGACACATTACTGAGAGACATAAGAGGTATAAGCTTTGGCCAAGAACCACCCATCATGTACATAAGTACCTTTCTCCAGGGCAGACGCGTCAACAAGCCGTACAAAAGAGCCATTCTTTAGTCTGCCAGTCTGCCATTGTCCCACCCTGGCCTGATATTCTGTCTTTTCACTAAGCTGAAGATGTCGGTGTTTCTTAGGCACAGATCCTGCCACTAATACCGTATCTGTGTGGGGTTTCTGGGCGGGATGGAGGATGATCAACCTCAAGTTTCAGTTTTTTCTCCAAAAGAACATGATCCGTGTCGTCAGACGCGCAAGACAAGAGCGCAGACAGAAGAATCAGCCACCATCAGACTCGGGCATCAAAGTCTGCTCTGAAACTCCATCACCATGCTGCAGATCCCATGGCGTCTGTTGCCATGGCTGCCGCTCGTCTGCCGCCGCCGACTCCCTGTGCCAGGACTCTTTCACAGACCTGAGACACTGGCTGAAGGCAAAAGCCGCTACAGCAGTTTTTCCATCAGTAAAAGGGACTCTGAGAACTGTGTCATGAGGCCAGCTGAGTCCAGATGCTGCAGACTTGTTGAGGCTCTTTCTTAACCCTCTGTGGTCCCCTGTGGCTATTACACATAAAAACATCTGCTCCTACGTTTCTGACTCGTAGGGAAATTGTGTGGAAAGTACAGATTTTAAACATTCAATCCGTACCATGTTTGTGTTTGTAAGTAGGAGACATTTTATGATTTGAATTTGAAGAAAAGTTATTTAAAGTTACACTGTGCTTGTTTTGCAGTTGTAGGGCTGAAACAGTAGGCATATTTAAACTAAACTGATAAATCAGGCTAACTGTTGATAAATATTCTGTCATCATTTAAAAGCATGGCTTTATGTTGGTAACATTTAGTATATCTGGGACAGTTTTGATTTCTGACAGAGGGGGTGACAAAGCCTTTTCACACAGAGTCTACTGTCTATACTTGACTATCTTTGTTTGGACTGGCTAAAAAAAATATTTTTTGTATGAACATTTTTATAAAAACTTTGTTTTGTTACTTTTAATACTCAGTGGATCCAGTTCCTCCGTGTTCAGTGTTTAATAACAAAGGCGCATCATACTTAAAAATAAAAAACTGCATCCCGTTTTCATTCAGCTATCAGCAGTAATCCGGTAACACTTTGTTTTAAGGAACACATACTGGAGGTTGATTAAGGTTTGTTCTTCATTTAGTATAGTCCAAAGTAGACTAGATTAAATAGTTTACTCACTGAGCATTAAGATTGATGATCTGTGTTAACATGGAATTGAAGAGCTGTTGTGTGAAAATCACTTATAATTGCATATTAGTTTTAATAATGCAGAATAAACAATAAGTTTTTATTGTGCACATTATTGAAGCACAGTTAATCACATGAATTCACATCTTATCAGTGTACAGTCGATGATATTCATTTGCATCACAAATTCAAAACCTATTCATGATATGTTGAAATTTTAAAATGGTTTGAAACTAACCAGAAAACCATGAAAATGTCTTTACATAGGAAAATGGGATGCAAACTTTGACTTACTGAAAACGTAAGTGCTTTTTAGCCTCTAATTACTGATGAATAAAACTGTACTTTAGCATATGGAACACATCCTGATTTATTAGTGACTCTTATTAGCTCTAAAGTGATAAACTCAGTCTTTTGATGATATAGAGCTGATCACAATAAAATTATGCTTATACATTAAGAGTATGTGAATTTAGCTAGTGATGTGAATTTAGATCATTTATGCTCAATAATTTGCTTAACAAGGTCTTAGCAAAGTGTTTATCATGCATTATTAGAACAGTCGTGTTAATGTGAAAAATGCCCTGTCTAAACATTAAACTAAAATTAAGAATGAAAAATGCTGTTTCTGATGGAATTGTCACTGTCTGGAAGTGAAAGTGCAGCACAGACCACAGGGAGCTCACTGCTGTGTGCGTGCGTAAATGTAAACCAGGACTGTAGTTAAATAGATAATAGATAAATTCCACTTATCGATAATTATCATTAGATCAATAAGTGGTCTTAGCCCTACATTTTGCCATGTTCTTGTCATATTTTGGCACTAAAGCTAACAGGAAAAAAGACAGTGTCATTGATGTAAAGCCTTTATGAAGGTACCAAACCTACTTGAGCACTAATGATACCAGTGGTGTGTCCAGTTTAAGGATTTGGCTCTACTAGGCCCGAGTCCTCTTATCTAGGTACCTCTGCGGAAAGTAACCGCAGTAAGTAGTTAAACTGGGTTGATAGAGGTTCTTTAACTTTTTTGTCCAGTAATTTTGTTACTGTCCCTCACACTGAAGTGGACACATGAGCAAACACAGTGATAGCGTGTGAGTTTAGTCTTATTCATTGTTAAATAAAAGAACATC